GCCATGGAGCCTTTGAGTGGGTTCAAACCCCCAACCTTCTGTTAGCAGCCCAGTGCTTGACTGTTATAGCACCGTTGGAGCTCCTCGGTTGCAAGGCTGTGTGCTGCTACTTGCCAAAAGAGAGGCAGGGCATGAAGAGAGGCAGAGTACAAGTAAAGGAGGGAGGAGGGAAAGATTGAAAAAAACGTACAAGGACAAAAACATTGAAGACAAAGAGAGGAGAAAAAAAAATCAAAACTGGGTTGAGAAAAATGTGAGTAGGAAGGGTAATTTAGGTATGGCCAAATCCTTCATGAGATATGACTGCTAAGGCTGTGGAAGGGAAGAATATTAAAATTGTGAACTGTTTAACAATGAAAGTATTTTGAAATGGAATGGTGAAATTTTTGTGAATAATATATGGGGGAGGTATACCCAACATTATTCTCCCTGAAGAAATTCAAGTGTTCAAGAGACACTGCTGCCCTGAAGGAAACAGTCTTCCAACGCAGAGTACCAGCAGCAGCATGCGGTCCTCAGCACTTGGAATGTGGTTGGTGAGCTTGAGTAATTGAGTCTTTTTATTTTAGTTCCAATCTAAAGTCACCATAACAAGATGGAATTTATTGAAAATAAATATCATTATATAAAACAATTTTAATTATAACTATGAACTGACCTGTGATTTGCACATTTTAAAGAGAAGTATGCCATCAGAGTGAATCAAAAGAACCCAAGAAAAATACGTACTGGTAGGAGGAACTCATGCAAACTAGAGAAAGAGAATAAACTTATTGCTTGCATACACAATTAGTTGCCTTCCCAGATAAACCTCATTGAATATTGAATAGGTTCCAACCCACAGCAACCTGATAAGAGAGTAGAACTGTTAAATAGGGCTTCTAAAGGGGTAAATCTTTAAGGAAATAACTCACTACATCTTTCACCCCTAAAGTAGCTGCTGGGTTCAAATTGCTGCTCTTTTTGTTAGCATTCAACCACTTGCAGTGGTTGAATGCAGTATGTTTGGGGGAAACTCATGGCCTCATAATTTGAGAAATGTTGGAAAATGGTCACAAGAATCTACTATTATTTCTGTATATTTAAAAAATAAGCCACAATGTCATCTCTACGATTTTTGAAAGACATTTCAAAGGACATCTAAATCTCATGGGATAAATGTGTTTCTTAGCTAATTATTGTGTATTATAAGCTGCATGTTTAAACCCCTGAATTTTTTTTTAATTTTCAAACTCCCAGCACATCTTTTCTCTAATGGAAAACCAATTACCATTCAGTCTTCCAAACTTCAGAATTTTCAGGTGTTTTTGTTGCATGGGATTCACATTCAAATATAATTATATGTGACCTGGAAGCTGATGACTGCCATTATTGAGTGATGAAAATGTTCTAAAATTGGTTGTGTCAGGTCATAGTTGCCCAATTCAGTGAACATACTAAAAATCACTTACTTGGACACTTAAATGGATCGGTTGTGTGGTGTGTAATTGTATGGTATGCAAAGTTGTTTAGTAATAAATCATATGAAGAAAACTGTACAAAAGAAAATAACCAACCATCCCTACTGCCAATCGAGTCAATCTGACCCCTAGTGGCGCTCTGCAGAGTTTCTGGAACTGGGAATCTTCACAGGAGCAGAGTGCCGACTTTCTTCTACAGAGAGTCAGTTTGAAATGCCGACTTGGCAGTTAGTGGTCCAACACTTACTCTATGTTTTAGAAATTTATAAGAAAACTTTTTCATTCCTTGAAAATGTGGGCTTTCATGTGATTGAGTAAACAACATATTTTTTCTTCTGGATTTTCCAGTATTTCTGTCCCTAGGTTTATTTTATTCAATATTTTTATCCTAGTGCTCCTCAAAGTGGATGATTAATGTTCCCCAAAGTGGGTGACACCGACCCCTTGGGGTGGGGTGGGGATGCGGGAATGATCCAAGGGGGCTACAAAAGCAGATACCTACACTTTATCTGGATTTCAGGCTAGAGTACAAAAGTTTTATTTCCTGAATAATTTTTTTCATGGGATGGTAAGCCAAATAAGTTTGGGAACCTGTGTTTTATTCCATCTTTACAAGACAAAATTTAACTGCTCTGCTCTACCTAATAGCATAGGATTGCAAGTCAGCTCTAACTCATAGAGAGCTATGTCCCACAGAATGAAGCACTGCAAAGGCCTAAGGAGCCATCTTCACACTTGGTGTCTGTTTGAGCCCATTCTTGCAGCCACCGCATCCATCTGTCTCATTGAGGGTCTTCCTCTGCATCGCTGAACCGTGACTTTAGCAAGAATGCCGTTGTTCTCCAGGGACTGTTTGTTCGTGGTGACATACTCCAAATACATGAGACGATGTCTCACCATCCTTGCTTCTAAGAAGCATTCTGGCTGAACTTCCTCCAAGACGGATGTTTGTTTTTCTGACAGTCCATGGTACTTTGAATAACCTTCACCAACACCGTAATGCACGTGCATCCTTCCTCATGCATTGCCCACTTCACATGCATAGGCGGCAAGGGCACATGCCATAGCTTGGACCAGGTGCACCTCAGTCCTCCAAATGACATCTTATGATACGCATCACGAATCTTTTTTTTTTTAAATCGGTGCAGGCTCAACCTGAGCTGGTTTCCAAAATTCTCTAGATTTTTGGTATTACTTTGCTTGGTTTTTGTTCATTCATAGCAGAGTGTCTCAGAGGTGTTATGTCAATGGAAGTCACCCTCTTGAAGCTGCGGTATATGCTCTTCTGTTTTTCGGTATATGAAACCCAGGAATGATGAATCGATGGTGATAGCAAGCAGAATAAGGGGTTTGGGAGAAGGAGGGTGCGGTCGTGGTGGTGGTGGAGTAAAAGGGAGAGGATGTCAAGGAGTCCAGAGAGAAAAAGAATGTTTGGAAACTGATTGTGGTAGCAATTGTGCGACTCTACTTGACAAGATTGAACTATGGAATGATACGTTATAGGGATTAAATCCCAACTAATTAAAAAGGGAAAAAAGAAACTATGGTCAATGGGGTTTAAGAAAATTATACGTTTTCCACTAGATGGCACTGTTGTGCAAATATTTTTGCCAGGCTGCACTTCCTCAAAATAACTATCATGCTGCTACATTTTTTGGTTTACTTTTGCTGTGAATTCAGCGACAGTTTACACAGAAGACCACTAGTGTTATGTTCAATAGTTCATACACATTTTATTTCAGCTCACTCATTGAAATTCCCTCAATGTACCTGTTTTTGTCCTGAATTTCCTGTTTCTATGCCTCCTCCTTTCCCAACCCTCTGAACTGTATCAGGTAAATGCTGCCCTTTTGATGTTAAGTGGTTGATTATTTTACCACAGGGGCGAGTTCAGTTCCAGACCTGATGGTGTCTAAGGGCCATCATCTTGGGTCCCACCTGTCTGAATCCAAGGGATAAACCCATTCTTGTTTATGATTTTGAGTTTGGTTGCACATTTTTCTCCCACTCTATCCACAGCCTTCTAATGTGATCCTTTTCCGAGTAGTTGGCAGTGGTAGGCAGGGGCTACCTACTTCTTCGGGTCTAGAGGCTATGAGACTGGTGGTAGAGAGGCTCTATAGTCCACTGGGTGATTCTTCCCTATGTCTCTGTTCTCACCACCTTTCTTCCTCCCCAAGGGGAGAGACCAATGGTGGTTTGTGACCTTTTAAGACTCCGACACTACTCACCTAAGTAGGATGTAGAACATTGGCTTTGTGAACTATGTGAGGCCAATCGACTGTGGTCCTGATCCCCCGAGGCCCAGTGGTTCTTTCCTGCAAGGGGCTTGGTTAGGTCTAGGAACTTTTCCTAGCTCTGCCCCCTGCACGTGCCACCACGTTCGTGGACATATTTGCAGCAACCATAAATACGCTTATACAAATATCCTGTGTCAGATCTGGATATACGTGTGGGTCTATATCCACTCACCCTCTCAATTGGTTCAGCCTGCATGCCTAAGTAACCACTCACAATAGAAAGTAATTTACCCAAGTTCACACAATTGTGTGTTTACCACAATCTCACTGTTGCATGGGATATTTTACAGGTACGATTTTCATAATAGCATAAGGAAAAAAAGTGCCTGTTTGCAAGAATATCTGGCACAGGTAGGCGAGCGAGCTCGTGTACACAAGCTCTCACACACACTGTTTGGCTTCCTAGTAGCCTAGGTCTTAGCCTGGGCTTGGACATTCAGGAAGTGACTCCCGGTCACTTTCTTATTTCTAACACTTCATTCTGATGTCACCGCTAAATCCAGGCCTTGTTTCTGGATTTCTGCTGGTTCTGCCAACCCCTCCTTTAAGGTCCGTTAACAAGACTTAAAAACTAGAGCGGATACACGCACGTAGCTTTCACATCATTTCCCTTAGCTCCACGGGTCCGCAGCCTGTGTAGACCGCTTGGACAGCCGTCAAACGATCGCATCTTCATCAGCAAGGACACTCGTCTTGCTGTCAACTCTTTCGGTTCTCAAAGGATGCTAGTGGACTAGGGCGGTGGGTCTTGTCTTTGGCTCTGGTACTTGTCTACGACCTTCAGCTGTTCGATGGGCCTCGATTTCCTCATCTCTAACCCATGAGGCTGGTACCGGATGATCGCAAACGTTCCTTCCAGGTCTCAGTGTGATCTCTGTCCCCTAACGGTCCTCAGTCGAGCTGCGTCCAGAGCCGGGGCGGAGGGGGGAGGGGGGGAGC